AGCTACCATCCCGGTCAGGGAGCTCACCAGGACCAAAGGCATTCCAGAGCAGGGAAAAATGTAGGAATGTGTTCTTAAATCCTGCCCAACTCTCTCACCTGCTTAGCGCAGAGAGGACAGTTCACACCAATGCTATCGCTGGCATAAGAGGTGAAGCCAACTGAAAGGCTCCATTGCTCTGATGGCTCAGCATCCCCCACGGTGGCTGCCTCAGGCCAGCTCTGGGACCTGCCTGACACCCCAGACATCAACCCACCAAAACAAGAAAACCCCAACAATAGTCAAAAAAGATAAAAAGCAAGGGACAGGTTTTCTCCTGGGTTTCCAAGCTTGAACGAGCTCACAGAGAGGTCAGTTACCCAGAAAGGGTGGAAAACTGGCAAGAAGGGGTGTAAGCTCTCTTGCAACAAGTGTGGTTTGCTCACAGGGCTATGTGGGGACAAAGTGGCCGGTGTCCAAGCAGGAGGGAACCAAGCAGGGCCTCCCCCACCAGCGCTGCTGCCTGGGCCCCACTCACTGACCCACAACCACAGCCCAACGCCCTTTACATGAAAAGGGGGAATTAACAATAACACCGTAACTCACCAGGGAGGAAAGCGACCAGTGAAGGAGCACTTGGGAGAGCAGCCAAGAAGCAAAGACAAAGGGTGGGGGCTGGAGGGGGGGCAGCACTTGAACACTGCAGACTCAAGAGGATTTTTTACAGACAGCTCATTGCTGTTCATTCAGAGAAATTCCTGGAAGCTGGTGCCCTCTAGTGAAACCATGAGGTTTCTTGTAAAGCTAAAAATAAATGGAAGTCGTTCCACTGACTCCAGGCCATGGGAGCAAAGAAAGGCAGCACTCAGCTTCTCCCTCTGCACAGGAGCATAGACACAGCCAGGCACGCAGGGGCAGCGTCAAAGGGCCTGTGTTTGCATCAGAGCATAGCTCACAGCCTAGGGCCTGGATGCTGCACCGGCAATTACGCTAAATGTCCGTAATACATGAGCAACAGTGGTTGGAAGGAGAGAGAACAAAAGTTTAGCCTCCAGATTTAGTTCTCAAACCTTATTAAGGCAACTCACAGCAGACAACTCAAAGAACGCATCACATTCAGCCGAGTCTAGGAAGTCCACCACCTCCACTTCGAACGTGGCCATGGCATTCGGAGGAATGAGAGGAGGACAGCCCATCTTCCCATAGGCATAACCTGGCAGGAAGAAGAATCTCGCCGCCTCTCCCACCTTCATCGTCAGCAGGCCAATCTCCAGGCCCCAAAGCGTAATGTCTGTCTCAACAAAAAATGGAAGGTCATGAGAAACCGGGAAACCCCCTCAGACTCCAAACAACAATTTATCCTAAAGCCTGTTAGAAAAAATCCTCAGTAGCTCACATCTCGGCAACTACAATGGTCAACTGCCCCCTGTTCTGGCTTATCCAGGTGCTCTGCTGTGGGATCACGCACACAGCAACCAGGAACACCTTCTCTCAGGTGATTTAAAAACACCGAGACAAGCAGCTGCTTCAAGGCAGGTGGCAAGCGTCCCCACTGCCACCAACAGCGTGGGCACTGCTGCTCCCTCCCACAGCCAAGAGGGGCAGAGGGGGATCAGTTCCCAACTGACCATCACCTGTGTGAAGCAGGAGGCTTCTGGGCTCCATTAACAAGTTTTAAAGGTTCAAATAACCTAAAGATACTAAACAGTGTTTAAACTGACATGTCTTAAAGGGCTGGTCTTTATAACCCCAAGGCCCAGGACACATTTTTGGGGCTCAAACCTACCTCTTCCAAGTTTCATCAGCCTAGGATATTTCCTGTTGCAGCTTGTGCAGAAGGGCTCGTCACTGCCTTCCAGGTACCCAGAATACCTCACTGAGCAGCCCAAAGAGAGAAGAGAAAAGCAAGAGTTTGATTCCATATTCAGTAACAGTACCATCAGAAGCACACTGGGAGTTGGTTTTGCAGCATCACCCTTTTATCCTGCTTTTCTTCCCTCCTTCTGCTGTAGAACAGCAGAGGGAGCACAAACTACCGTGTCTTTATACCTAAAACCCGGTCACATCAAAGCAGCCAAGTGGTGCTGATTCTGGTTTAACATCAATACCACATAAAACAGCCACTTCACAGCCTCGATGCCTCTCTAATCAAGAGATGTCATTTTGTGTTTCTAAGAACTGGAATGGAAACTTCAGCTGCAGAAATGAAAAGGCCTCAATTATCTGCAGAAATGCGTAATAAAGCCTTTCCCAACCAAAGCTGAAGCCCTAGGAAGAGAAACAAAAGGGGAAACGTACCCCTCCAAGCTCAGGCACTCCCTGGGGAGCTGTACAGGCAACTCCACTTAGAAAACCCACTCCAAGGGCTTCCCTTGACATGGCACCAGGCCCTTGCACTTCAAGAACCATTTTCAGCTTCAAACTTCTTCTCTGTTCTGTGAGCACAGGTGGGACCTGGAAATCCTGCTTTTCTCAAGGTCAGGATGCCCTTTCATTTAATCTGTCAGGCACAAGAAGTTAAACAGAGTATCCCAGGTGCTAAAATACTGATAAGGGAGAGCAGTCTCTGAAACGGAAAGACATACTACCGTATGTGTGTAAGCACTTGTAAGTTTTGTTCTGATCTCACACTGAAGTCCAAAGCACTCAGATTTCCCAGCCATGAGCACCTCAACATTAGAGGCTCAGGGGATTGTTTACAACAGGTTCTGTCCTCTCCATTCCCCTTAGCGCACACGTCAGGCCCAGCCACACAGACCAAAGCTGGTTCCTTGCACTGAGACGTACATGACAGAGGAGGACGAGACCCTGACTCCAGTCTAAGCTCCCAAGGATTTGAGGTTTTCTTAGTCTTACTAATCACAGATTAAGTCTAACAACTGCCCTTTAGAATCACGGAATGGTCTGGGAGGGACCTTAAAGCCCACCCAGTGC